GCCTTCATGGTCAGCAGCATGCGGCGCACGTCGGGGTGCTTGACGATCGCCACCGGCGCGCCGGCCTGCTCGGCCAGGTCGCGACTCTGCACCCGGTCGAAGGCGTAGGCGCGGGCCTGCTGATAGGCCCGCTCGGCGATGCCGATGCCCTGGATGCCGACGGCCAGGCGCGCGTTGTTCATCATGGTGAACATCTGGCGCATGCCCTGGTTTTCCTCGCCGATCAGGTAGCCGACGGCGCCGCCGGAATCGCCGTAGGCCATGACGCAGGTCGGCGAGGCGTGGATGCCCAGCTTGTGCTCGATCGACACGCAGCGCAGGTCGTTCTTCGGGCCCAGGCTGCCGTCCTCGTTGATCAGGAACTTGGGCACCAGGAACAGGCTGACGCCGCGCGTGCCCTCCGGCGCGCCGGGCGTGCGCGCCAGCACCATGTGCACGATGTTGTCGGTGAAGTCGTGCTCGCCGTAGGTGATGTAGATCTTCTGGCCGGTGATCAGGTGGTGGTCGCCGTTGGGCACCGCGCGGGTCTTGACCGCGCCGACGTCCGAGCCGGCCTGCGGCTCGGTCAGGTTCATCGTGCCGGTCCACTCGCCGCTGATCAGCTTGGGCAGGTAGGTCTCCTTCTGCGCCGCGCTGCCGTGGGCGCTGAGCAGCTCGACCGCCCCCTGGGTCAGCAGCGGACAGAGCGCGAAGGCCATGTTGGCGCCGTTCCACATCTCCTGGATCGCGCCGGCGACCACCCAGGGCAGGCCCTGGCCGCCATAGTCGGGGTCGAAGGGCAGGGTGTTCCAGCCGGCCCCGACGTAGGTGTGGTAGGCCTCCTTGAAGCCCTCGGGCGTGCGCACCACGCCGTTCTCGAAGACCGCGCCGGCCCGGTCGCCCGGATGGTTGAGCGGCGCCAGCACCTCGCCGGCCAGGCGCCCGGCCTCCTCCAGCACCTGATCGATGAGCTGCGGGTCCGCTTCGGCGAAGCCCTCGAGATGCGAGAGCTCCTCCAGCCCGGCCAGTTCGCGCAGGGCGAAGCGCATGTCGTCGATCGGGGCGCGATAGTCGGCCATCGGCGGTCCTCCGGAAAAGGCTGCGGCCTCTGGCAGGGCCGCTTGGTCAAACGGACAGTAGGTCGGCGCAGGGGGGCTGGCAATGGGCCGGCCGGCCTCGCGGCGACGCGCCGCGACCGGCGCGCGCAGGGTCTAGCAAGCGCGATGAAGTCGCCTCAAGACCTTGTCGTCGCTCCGGCGGTGCCTGGCGGCGGCCTTACAGGCTGGCGAGGAAGGTCGGCGGCGCGTCTGTCAGCGCCGCGCCGTCCTGGCCCGCCACCGGGGCCTGGCGGGCATCGGCCTGCCGCCCCTCGACCTGCCGCCCCTCGACCTGCCGCCCCTCGGCCGGCGGAAAGACCAGGCGCACGCAGGTTCCCTCGCCCGGCGTACTCTGCATCTCCACCGTGCCGCCGTGCAGTTCGGTCAGGGCCTTGACCAGCGCCAGGCCCAGGCCGGTGCCGCCGGCCTCGCGGTTGTAGCTGTTGTCGAGCTGATGGAAGGGCTCGAACACCCGGGGCACCTGCTCCGCCTCGACGCCGATGCCGGTGTCGCTGACCGACAGCTCGACCCGGTCGCCGTCGAGGCGGCGGGCCGCCAGCGTCACCGTTCCGCCGAGCTCGGAGAACTTCACGGCATTGGTCAGCAGGTTGAAGAGGATCTGCTTGATCGCGCGCATGTCGGCGAAGACCAGCCGGGCGCCCGGGGCGATGTCCAGCGCGAGCTTTACGCCGCGTTCGCGCGCCTTGACCGCGCAGAGCCGGCGGCAGGAGTCGAGCACATCCTCCAGGTCGAGGTTTTCCGGCTGGATCTCCAGCTTGCCGGCCTCGATCTTGGCGATGTCGAGGATGTCGTTGATCAGCTCCAGCAGGTGTCGCCCGCTGGTGTTGATGTCGAGGGCATAGTCCGCGTATTGCCGGACCGCCTCGGGGCCGAAGGCCTGCTGCGCGATGATCTCGGAAAAGCCCAGGATCGCGTTCAGGGGCGTGCGCAGCTCGTGACTCATGGTCGCCAGGAACTGGTTCTTGGCGCGGTTGGCCGCCTCCGCCGCCTGGCGCGCCGTTTCGGCCTCGGCGCGGGCCTGCTCCAGGTCCTGGGCCAGACGGGACAGCGAGGCGGCCTGCTGTTCCAGCTTCTCCTTCGAGGCGATCAGCTCGTCCTCGTAGCGCTTGCGCTCGGTCACGTCGACCACGGTCATCTGCAGCGCCGGACGGCCGTCCCAGTCGATCCGTCGCGCGCGCATCTCGATCCAGAGCGGCCTGCCGTCGCGGGTCAGGCTGCGCACCCGCGCGAAATGATCGAGATGGGCCTCCGCGTCGGCCCGGCGGCACAGCCGGACAGAGCCCTCGCGCTCTTCGGGCGAGACGAGGTGCAGCAGGTCGGGCTCGGCCAGCACCTCTTCCGGAGTGCCGTAGCCGTAGATCTTGGCGAAGGCGGCGTTGGCGAACAGCGGCCGGTGGTGGCGGTGGATGATGATCCCCTGCAGCGAGCCTTCGATCAGGGCCGACAGGCGGCTCTCGCGGTCGCGCAGCTCGGCCTGCTGGGCGCGCAGGTCGGTGACGTCGATCGCCGTGCCCAGAATGCGCGCCACCCGGCCGGAGGCGCCGAACAGCGGCGACAGCGACATCAGCCAGACCCGGCGCTCGCCGTCGATCACCAGCTCCTCGTCGTACTCGATCACCTCGCCGGCCTGCACACAGGCGCGGTAGCGGCCGTTGAGACGGGCGGCGAGGTTCGGGTCGGCCAGGTCGTCGGGGCGGCATCCGCTCGCCTGTTCGTGCGACAGGCCGGAGCGCTCCTCGTTGCGCCGATTGAAGGCGGCGTAGCGGAACTCGCCGGTGGGCAACACGTCGACGACAAAGGTCGGCGCCCCGATCGGATCGAGGAGGCGCTTCAACTCCGTGGTGTCGAAGGTGAGCAGCATGACGGCAGGCCGGCCAGGTCGGCAGAAGTCCGCAAGGGCCCACCAATCTTATTCAAAGGCATTAACCAATGAATAACGGGGCCGGCTTGTGGCGCCCGCGCTCGGCCTAAGCCTCTGGGGTGACGACCTTTCCGGGGTTCATCAGGCCATGCGGGTCGAAGGCGCGCTTGACCCGCCGCATCATCTCGATCTCCACCGCCGGTTTCAGGCGCACCGCCTCCTCGACCTTCAGGCGGCCGACCCCGTGCTCGGCCGAGAAGGAGCCGTCGAAGCCGGCGACGATGTCGTGGACGGCGGTGCTCATCTCGCCCCAGAGCGCGAGGAACGCCTGGCGGTCCATGCCCGGCGGCTGGCTCAGGTTGAAGTGGATGTTGCCGTCGCCGACGTGGCCGAAGGGCACCGGGCGGATGCCGGGCAGGCGCCGCTGCGCCTCGGCGGCGGCGGCGGCGATGAAGTCGGGGACCTTGCTGACCGGTACCGAAACGTCGTGCTTGATCGAGCCGCCCTCGTGCTTCTGCGCCTCGACCAGGCCTTCGCGCAGGCGCCAGAATGCGGCGGCCTGCTGGGCGTTCTGGGCGATCGCGGCGTCGCTCACCAGGCCCGCCTCGAAGGCCTCGGCGAGCATCGCCTCCAGGGCCTGTCCGAGCTGGCCCTGCTCCTGGCCGCCGTAGAGCTCGATCAGCGCGTACCAAGGGTGCGCTTGCGCCAGCGGGTCGGTGCAGCCCTCGACGTGGGTCACCGCCATCTCCAGGCCGATGCGCGGCATCAGCTCGAAGGAGGTCACGGCCTCGCCGGTGGCGCGCCGGGCGCGGCCCAGCACCTGGACGGCCGCCGCCGGGTCGGGCAGCGCCAGCAGGGCGGTGACCACCTCGCGCGGCCGGGCGTAGAGCTTGAGCACGGCGGCGGTGATCACTCCCAGGCTGCCCTCGGCGCCGATGAACAGGTGTTTGAGGTCGTAGCCGGTGTTGTCCTTACGCAGGCCGCGCAGGCCGTCCCAGCGCTGGCCGTCGGGCAGCACCACCTCCAGGCCGAGGGTCAGGTCGCGGGCGTTGCCGTAGCGCAGAACCTGCACACCGCCGGCGTTGGTCGCCAGGTTGCCGCCGATCTGGCAGCTCCCCTCGGCGCCCAGGCTGAGCGGGAAAAGGCGGTCGGCCTCGGCGGCGGCGCGCTGTACGTCGGAGAGGATGCAGCCGGCCTCGACGGTGATCGTGAAGTTGTCGGCATCGAGCGCGCGGATGCGGTTCAGCCGGCCGAGGCAGAGCAGCAGTTCCGCGCCGCTCTGGTCGGGCGTGGCGCCGCCGCACAGGCCGGTGTTGCCGCCCTGCGGCACGACCGGCACCCGCGCCTCGGCGCAGAGCCGCACCACCTCGGCCACCTCGGCGCTGCTGCCAGGGCGCACCAGGAAGGGCGTGCGGCCGGTGTAGAGGCCGCGTTGGTCCGCCAGGTGCGGCGCCAAGTCGGCGGGGTCGGTGACCAGGTGGCGGGCGCCGACCACGCCGGCGATCGCCTCCTTCAGGCGCGAGATGCGGTCGGGGAGGGGGCTGCTGTCGGGCATGGTCTCGAATCTAGCGGCTCTCGCGCGTCCGCGCCACCGTGGCGGGAGCGCCCGCCGCCGGGCGCGGCGCGGCGGCGCGGCGCA